TTATTTTTAACATAACCATAAAGTAATAAAAATATATAAAGGAGGCGCCGGCGTTATTGAGCTAGCGCCATAAAAATTGCGCTATCACCCATGTCTACAATGGTGAATATAGAGGGGCTAACACAATCCAAATTAAATCTAATTATGTCCATCACATTATCAGTACTACTCTACACCGCAGGAAAATTATCCCTTCTTTGCAGCGCTCGGTAGCTCTACGCACAGCATCCGAATATCATACGGTATTCGGACCAGCCGGTCTGGTAGTAAGTGGCGCAACACCCACAGGCAACCGAGAGCAAACATTTTTGTGAAATAAAAAAACGGCATTGTGGTTAATATTAGCAGTCTGGCCAGGAAAGAAGTAAAATTGTTAGGATATCGAGCCGCGCCGCAGGTCGGCAGCTTGGCTACCCTAGAGTACTGGGTCAACATACGCTTTGGAGACTTTATTTACAACATAACACAGTTACTATATGGTGATGGGAAATTTAAGAAATACTTTCATGAAATGGTAAATATAGAAGGCTGTATGGAAATTCTAACACACACGAAGCAGCAGGGAAAGATGCTCACTTCAGAGCATTGTAGAATGGACTAGCGCAGAATATATGCAGCGACTAGGAAATTTGGTACTGTGGTAGATAATAAAAACTAAGCGAAGCTATAGTCGCCAGCGCATATAGGAGTTGAAGGAGAAATAGGATCATTTAGCCGAAATTTCTGCTGCCTCGATCTCGATAGGACATCAGCCCATCCTTTAAATATAAATAAATTCCGAACCAGAAGGGAAAATGTCGAACTAAGGGAACTGCACTGGCGTGGTACCTCGGGTATTCGCCAAGCTAAAAGCTATCATCATTACAGGCTTTGTTACAGGCTTGTATAATCTAGGAATTTGGTCAAGCGACCTATTTCGCCAAGGATACATTATTAAAACTGCTTCCCCGGGATCTGTTCTGAAATTTATAGAGTCTCGAGGGCATGCTGAGGTTCTGTGCTGAGCTGACTGTAAATGGGAATTTCGTATAAGCTCTTGTCGTTTGTTGTTTATCCTTATCTTTAAGGCCGTCTTGGCTCAACCCTTATTGTAGCTCCAGCATAAATGCTCGTCTAACCAATATATTTTATTTAATTCATTATTTTTCGCTTTATTTTACCGAATTTTATTTATATTTTATTGTATTTTTTTCTTCATAAATTTTTGTGATTATTACACGTTAAAAAATAAAAAAGTAGTAGTATCACCGTTAGTATCTTCCTCTCTCTCTCTCTCTCTCTCTTCCACTACTTCACTCTTCAAACTGAAGATTTTCAACCACTGTTTCCGATTTTTTAATAAGGTTTTTGGTGTACATACATATACATATATATCGCTAGCTTATAGTGAACAACTGCTAAATTGGTTTTTTTTTATTTTACAGAGCAGAAGAAAAGTACTTCTTATAGCCATTTTTATTCAAGTATTTCGCGAATCTTTGTATACAACAGTTTGCATATTTAAAGCAAAACAAGAAAACTGAGTTCAAAGCATTCGACGTTAATTAAAATATTTTTTATTATTCGTATTTTGGCTTTATCCAATTTTCTGTGACTCTTTTGGATTTAGAAAACTTGCCTCTCAATGAATATAAAAGGGATGAATTAAAAAAGTATCTTAATCCGTTTTAACATTCTCACAAAAAGTGGACTTAGCAACTTTTTACCTTAAGATAGCGATATGCATCTACATGTGTCAAATGCTTTTATAAACTTTATGATACAAATAATATTGATGCAAACGTGAACTTAAAAAAAACACATTTTCATCGAATAAAATTCTTTAAACTCATTTTGTTGAATATTTGTTTACAATTATTTCGTGGGTCTTATAAATATTTTTTTTTTTTTTTTCTTATCACATAAAGCAAAACTTTTCTGCGATGTTAGTATTGAGTACTTATTTGATCGGTATGTTTGTGTAAACATAAGTGTGTTTAAATAGGGATATTCACGATCCGGTGCATACTGTCTAGAATGGTGCATAGATAATGTGACCAACCGTGCTTCTTTCGGAAGTACAGTACTTCTTTTTTCGCTCTTGTACTTCGTACTTCGAAGTACAGTCAAGTGTACTTCTTTGCGATATTTTTTACTTCAGGAGGGAGATTCCGGTACCAGTTAGGGACAATTTTCGGGTCGCTATCGCACTTTCTGACGCATATGCAGCATATGTAGATAGCATAAATAGCATGATTATTGTTGTTTCATGTGTTCAAACAACAACAAATATAAGCCAATCATGTTATTTATGCTAACTATGCAACATGCTAAACAGTATGCACCGGATCGTGAATACCACTAATGTAGAAGGTGTATTTTACATTTATGCACAAACAGCGAAAACAGAAAATGTGTGGATATTTTATTTACTTCTTGTCTGCATGTATGTATGGATGTATTTACATGTGTATGTAAATTCAATAGGTTATCATATACAGCGCGCCCGATTTTCCACAGCAGAAAACATTTAGAAGTTAAATTAGTTGGAAATAAGATTTCTTTTAAATACCAATTAAGTAATTTTTGAAGAAAAACTTTTATTTTTATTAACTTTGATGTGACGAAAGAGCGCAGCGCCTTAATTATTTACAGTGTATTTTAGTTGTTGATAAATAGCGTTTTTTTTTCAGTGTAACATTGAAGTGAATAAAACCTAAATTGTAACGCTTTCTCTATTTTGTTTGGGTTTTTTGTGTTTGTATTTGATTTGTATTAAGCGTATGCACTGTATAGCTCACCTGTTGTCCCGGTTGCCCTGGCTGTTGCTGTCCGGGTTGTTGTTGTTGTTGTCCCGGTTGCATTGGCTGATTTGGATCGTACTGATGTGGATCTTGGCCCATCATATGCTGTTGCTGCTGCTGATGTGGTTGGCCTGGCATACCCATTTGACCGGGCATGCCATGTTGTCCAGGTTGCATTTGTTGTGGACCCATGCCCATTTGTTGAGGTCCCCGTCGGCCAACAGCGCTGCGCACATTATCTAAAAGTGAATTAATTAGGATGAATTATTTGGAATGTTAAAGGTACATACTAGAAAAGTGAGAAACGAAGTGTAAAAAACATCAATGCTTCTCTAAGAAAATTTCCAGGTAATCGGATACAATTTTCTTCGAAGTCAATTTTATAGATATATTAGATAGATATCACGAGCCCCAGTTTGTGGAGGTTCTGCTCTATTCGAGCTCTATTATATGCCTTACATATTTTCCCTTATTCCCTTCTTTTTAAATATTAAATTATTTTATCAAATCATTTACATTCTGTTCTACTTATATCCTTTTGGTAAGAAACTGGGGATCTAGAGGGTATTAAGAATACAACCAGACTAATTATGTTGTTGCGATTAATCTATCCCACAATCCCAGTTAAATTGTACATATGTATATTTTTGGCGTACCTACTTCACTTCGGTAAAAATTCGTCTCCAGTGGCTTGAGCGTATGCAAAGGTGTAAGGTCATGGTGAAGAATATCTTGAAAACCAATAATATGACATTTACTTTTTTTCTTAGCTAGTCTAAATTCTTATTTAGTGTCCGTCGTATGAAATCATGACGAAATTATTTACAAGACCTTCCAACAAGCGGTATGGATGCGGAAACAATTTTACAAGACAATTTGCCCAAGTGCAAATACATAAACAGTTTAAGTGAAGGGAAAATTCTCTATACTCTCACACTGCTACAAAAAGGATTGTTTTTTTTACAGCAAGCTCCACAAGTATTGGGTTTTTAGCTTCATTACAAAATACTTATTTTCAAATAAATATGGTCTTTGGTTTTGCAATTCAACTAGCCTTCAAACGCAGGCGTAGAACCTAAAAGCAGTTGATTCAATGGCTTCGATGAACCTATGTAACTCGTACGCATTTCAGAGTATACTTGCTCACGTTTCAAAGACATCCAGATTACAACAACACATCAACAGAATTCACCAAAAGCAAAAGTAAATGTAAAAAGGAAAACAAATATAAAGGTATTATATAAATAAAAACATCAAACCATAAACAAAGAATCTTTTAAAGAGTAATTAATTAACATAGGTGCATACATTAACTTATTTAGGTATGTATGTATTTCTGTATGTCCTAAGCCAAATATCTGCTCACCATTATCACTGATATCATCCTGATCGTGCTCCAAATCGGTGTGCGTCTCACTCAATCGCGCCAAGTCCTCCTGGGTGTGTGTGAGCAAAGGATTGTGTGGCGGCAGCGATGGCAACGATGTGGTATCACATTGCATAGAACCATCCTCGGCGTCGCGGAGTGTCGATAGAACTGCCTGATGGAATTCCAAGAGATCGTCACCTGAGTAGTAATAAAATAAATTTAAATAAAAAAGTGCACAGTGTAACAAAAAGGTCGGCAACTGTCCACCGAGTGTTTGAAGAAGAATTCTGAAATAAATGTTCCTCTTGACTCTTCCAAAGAAGCGTTTGCAATTATTAAATACGTATAAAGCATAGACGGACAGCAGCGTTGATTCGGATCAACTCGTTAACTCGAATTTATCTCGAGAATTAACTAAAGTTGATTTGGATTAAGTACTAGAGTTAATTCCCAAACTTAATTCGGATCAATAGAATTTTCGTTGACAACACTGACTAAAACTCAGAGAGCGTAGAATACAGCATGGGCATATACCTTTTCATCGATAATACAGTCATCATATAAATTCAGATAGGAATCCAATAAATTGAATAAAAGCTGTGACAGACGGCAAAGCTTAAGCATATATTCTGGCACACATATGCGCATAATAATTTTACCCTTACAGACGGCAGTAGTACGGATAAACGAGCCGCAAGGTCGTGGGTTCGAGTCCAGTCGGCCAGTATAATTTTCATTCTTATTTTTTATAAGTTCCATATTTTTTTACGTAGATTTCAGTTAGTTGTTGACTTTTTAATAAAACTCAACTCTAAAAATTTTAATTAACGAATAGTAAAATAAAAAAATGTGATATAAGATAAAGCAAATGAAAATAAAATAAAGTAAAATTAAATATATAAATCAAATAAAATAAAAAATAAATAAAATAAAATAAATAAAGCAAATGAAAATAAAATAAAGAAAATTAAATATATAAATCAAATAAGGTAAAAAAAAAAAAATATAAACAAAAAATTTTTTGATAATCGCTCCAACTGAGGATCGAACCTGGCAGCTACAGGCTTGTAGCCCGCAAATCTGACCACTCGGCTTCCGCGGGCGTGAAATTCGCCTGCTTTGTTTGCTTACTTGAACAAAAGACTAGTGATGTGCTGAATTTTCGGTACCCATTACTCGGTACCCAATACTTGAAAAAAAATTCGGTACTCAATCTTCCTTTTCGGTACCCGATACCGATTCGGTACATTAAACATTCATCATAATATACTATCATCATCAAAAAAATATAGAAAAAAGGTTTTTTCTTACCAGCGGTCATCCCTCGGCAGGCAATGGCAAACCTCCGAGTGTATTTTTGCCATGAAAAATTGCTTCTCACAAAAAATACAATCGCCGTTCGGAGTCGGCGTAAAACTGTAGGTCCCTCCGCTTTGTGTGACAACATCAAGGCGCACGCCACAAATCGGAGGAGAAGCTCGGCCAAACACTAACATATGTGTAAGCGCCAATCTATTATTATTATTATTATTATTATTATTATTATAATATACTATAGACTTGTGGTCAGCTGATTAAGTTTATTGACATTTTGACCAGTGTTGGTTTTTATTTTATTTTGATTATTTAATGTTTTTATTTTTATAAAAGTCTATCACATTAATAACCAGCACCATATTAGTCCACATTTCAAATTTCTTACAAAAATTATAAAAATTCAACAAACTTGACCAATTACACCTAAAAATTTTAAACTTTTTATTAAAAATTGTTTTAAAAATTTTAGGTATACACTTGCATAGCCCTTTAAATTCTAGTAGGTTAAACTGCAGATTTTAAAACACTAGAAAATTTCGTTGATTTTTAATATT